ATCTCTGAAAGAGTGGCAAATCTCTCCAAATTATATAATAGACAATGCAAATGAAACCCACTTTAACAGAAATAATTCTTCACTTAAAGCCAAATAGTATTTTTTTTTCTTTTGTCTTATTTCTCTTTCACAGTGTCTGAGTTTTCCATTAGAGTCAACAGGATTTTGCAATTAGAAAGAACAAGAGTTTAAAAGTATACCTCATTATGTGAACGTAGACAAAAATGTTTTCCCAAGTACTTTATAGAATTTAATTATTGGTTTTAAATACATTTTTGGAAAGTAACCTACAGTAAATAAAGATTTATTGTTACATAAATAAACAATGAGACAATTACAGCCTCTTTATGGAGGCCATATTAGTCATGCACGTCTAATGAAGCATTACTAAGCTATCACAGGGAGATAGCCTGATGTGTGTGATTAACAAAATAATACTCATAAATAGCTAACGAACAATGATGGTCCTTTAAAAATTTTGCATATCTTGCTGTATTGAGAGTTATGGGTTTTGTCGCTTTCCAAGGAACACGTTAAGCACTAAGTTCCACCCTGAAAAGGAGAGTATTAAATAGCACAATGCAACTATTTGCATTTTTGCCTTCTACAGCCCATGTTTTGAAAATACAAAAGAAGTCTCATGAAAGTCTACTAATGAAGAATACAATTCATCTTGTGCTGTACTCATTTGAAAGATGGCGTCTTGAGATGTCACCCGGGTGCAGGGGGAACAGGACAGGACACATGATCATAAATTATTTGTATATAATATGCAGCCATGAAATCTCTGAAGTAGCATTAGATAGAAAAAGTCTGGGTTTAGTAATAATTGTGGTGGATTTTTTACGTTAAAAAAAAAAAAATTATTTTCTTCAGGTGAGGTATATATTTGGCAAATATATTGTGAAGAAGGCAACCAGGATGGATGGCCAACACATGAAAGTAGACAAAAAAGGTACATTTATAAGAAAATATAGGGTCAAACCCCATGTGTAATAACAATTTGTGGCACAGAATGGGAGAACACCCTGTTAGTCAAATTAAATGCAATTTTGGATTACACAGCTAATGTTGGGGCTTTAACAGCAGCACAATTTGTGGCGGTGTGCCTGCGTGCGTGGGCTCCTCCAGCAATTGGGTGAGTCCACGTAACAGTATAGGCAACCCCCAGGCTGGCAGGGTGAGCTCTGCTACGCACGGCCCTTCTGTCACGTTCTAAATACATTGACAACTGCGTGAAAAGGGGTATGAAGGGACCTCTTTAGATTAGTCCATGGTGTAGGATGATGAAATATAAGATAGAAGTGTTATTATTTCTATCGCAGTGCTATAGATGAAACTAAATTGTATTGCATCTACAGTGCAAACTCACAGCAAATCCTTCTTGTATTTTTCTCGCTGAGATAAATTCTTCCCAAATGATATTCCACCTGCAACCTGATCTCCTTCATGGGTAAGTTTAACTCAAAGGGCAGAATTCCTGATGGCTGGAATAACAGCATTATTACAATCAATATTTTTTGATGAACGTATTAAAGACAGCTATAAAGTACAGTGGGAAAAATCTTGCGTATCATTTTCAGTAGTAACCCAACGACAGCCCTTCATCTGTAATGAATTATGGAGCAATGCCCTTAAATCATCTGTATGAAGTCAGCTATGACACTCCTGATTTTAAAAAATTTGCTAGTTTTGAGCTACAAATTGATTTTTTATTGTGATAAATTAAAATCCAATAGTAGCCTACAAGATACTAAACATACAGGAGCCTACATTTTTTTCAGAAAACTTTCTTCTCTTTTCTGTCACATCAGACTGCCATTGTGCCAGACATGACAGCAACAGCCAATGATAAAAGTTAAGAAAGGACATTCTAGAGAGGTAAATAACCTTTCCAAATAAACAATAAAGGAGCACTGTGGCCCAAAATATCCTTTTGGGAATTCCAAAATCATGGAAACTTAACTAAGGGAGAAAGCATTTTGGGGGATAGGGAGGGCGGTTAAAGTAAGAGAAAGCAAATGCAAGATCATCCAAGCTGTTCTCTATTAAAGGTGTATTTTTCTCCCTGTTGCACAAATGTGAACATCAGTCTCCAAACTTTATAAACTATGAAGTTTAACACGGATATCAGAAGATCTGTGTGAGCAAAACACAACCTTTTTGCAACCCCTTTTGCTTCCTTCCCATCAAAAGAGTCAGGCTGAGCAATCGTACATCCCCAGTTTTGCCAGCTTGTGGGATTCTCCTTGTTCCTTCTAAATCAAGAATGGCATTATCAGTGTGCTGCATCGCCTAATTGCATCGTCCTTATTTTGCCTTATAGGAGGCTCCACGTTATAGCAGTAACGCAGTTTTCTTTGGGGCTGACTTTAGCACACAGATCTCAACGTGAGACTACAAAGACAGTACTATTTACTGCTACGACAGCTGACATCTCGTAGCATTACACCATGATGAACCGAAGCCGAATGGATGAGACACAGTACGGCATCCCTAAATATCTGTCTCTTGCGCCGTGGGAAGCACTTTCCCTCAGTAGTGGTCCTGCAGGCTCAGAGAGCCCAGAGACACTGTCGGGGTCTGTCCGTGACCCGTTGCTGATGTTACCCAGTGTATTTCAGATGTCGAGATTGTACGTGATTATCAGCAGGTATGGGAATGAGGGGATAACCGTTGGTTGATGAAGCACAGACAGCCTGGATGAATGAGACTATGAAATGGGTCAAGGATGTGAAACTGTGGGACACGGACAGACGCAAGCTGGGGAAAAAGCCAAAGGGATGGCGGTTGTGAAGAACCGGGAAAGGACTTCAGCCCTCCCTTGCTTCAAAAGCTTGGCATGGAAAGCACGATTCTCCTGCTTTCACAAAACCACGTAAAAACTGATGTTAAAAGCTCCCTGGATCCCTCTGTCACAGTCCTGTTCCAAGAAGGGCAACTCAATACTCCTGTCCATCACTCCGGCAGCTCAGGGGCAGACGTCTGGAAGGTGGATTTAAAGGTTTCAGTCTAAGCCCGAGTGAGTGAGTGACAGAGCTACTATAAGGATGATACAGTTATGTCAGATTTAGAGAATACGGTGTCAAAGTTATGAAATGAAGGAGATTTGTTCTCATGTCCCCACCTCTCTAGTTGCAGCTAGGAGAGTGTGGAGGACACTGCAGGAAAGGCAATTTGGCTCACCCACCTTTGTTTCCAAACGCATCCCCTTTTCCCTCTTTATTTTATGAAAAGAAATCCTATGTTTGAAAAACATTCAGAGACAAGTGCCACAGGACAAGTCCCTCTCTCTTTCTTCTTCTTTACTTTCCCAACAAAAAGACTTTAGTCTTAGGAAAGTCACCGTGGCCTCAGTGCAATTTGCAGATGGAAAAGAAAACAAAATATTACCATATTGTTTGATGTATCACAATCTGTTCTGTACACTGAACGAAGCTGGTATTCTCTGGCCAAAAAAAGGTAGGTCATCGCATACTTAAGTACTACCCTAATATCTATTTAGTAGAGGACCCAACCACGACTGAACTGGCAGCCCGAATTCTGACGTTTCCTATCCTCTGAGCACAGACTGTAACCTCAGTTCTCTTAAACACTGCTTTTGTATGAATACTTTACACATGCTGTACACAACACATTCCAAATGAGCTTTTCATTACTAACTACTTGTATTATGTATCAGTGAGCTCAATGACATTGATTTTCTAATAATATAAATTAACTGGGAAAGATAATTTCATCTATCATCAGTGGGGTTTTATTTCTGGCATCATGTTAAATAGTTAATCTTTCAAAAGATTAAATCAAGAGCTTTTTAAAATTCAAGGCAGAGCTTAAACTGCTGTAAAAATCTTCTTAATTAGGATTAAAACAGTTTGTGTGTTGTCGCTTTATATCTAAGTAGTATAATGTTTTGCTTAGGTTTCTTCTTTCAGAGCAATTTGAAAAATCAAACATGATATTGCTGCGGCAAAAACTGCGTAAGGCACGGGAGTCTCCTGCAACCTCCTCGACCAGATGCTACTGGATGAGTTGCTGCTTGGCAACCTCAGACAGCAACCTCAAACTTTCCGGTATCTTTTACCTCCAATTCCATACAATACATACTTTTTCTACCATTGACAACACAAAAGCTCTGATTCTTATGGTTACGGCGTACATCACAGAAGACCGTCATTGCTGTTCATAGGAGTATATTGGGTTATGGTGACTATGGCTGCATCCATGTAGAACTATGGACCTGACAGAAATTCTTAGGTTTCCCCTGGGACGTCTTCAGGGCAATCCCAACTAAGCATGTGCTGCTCCCAGGAGCTCCCCAGCTCCCACTGCCCTTCCTTTTCTCTCTTTAATTCAGGCACCAGTGGGGAAAACAAGCTTCACTCTCCTGGGCTTGTCCGCAGCTCCCTCTGTTCCAGCTTGTTTTCTTCCCCTCCGCTTCCCATGACACGAGGGGCCCAATCCAAGACAACCTTAGCCTCTAATCCTAATCCCTTGTCATCAGACTCTCAAGTCACTTGGTACTGCTGAGGAGTCTTAACCAGCATGCAGAGGACTGGTGCGGTTGGGCTCAGGCTGGATGAGAAAACCCTCCTGGGCGCAGACAGCAGTCTGTACCATGGACTGCTACAACCAGTGGGCTGATATTTCCAAGAAGCAATTTTTTTACCTGGCAGAAGGAAAACAAATCCCTTCTTGCCACTTTCTGGACTCAGAGCTATGAGCGTTTCTGCATGTAAGGGGCATCTGGGTCCTCAACCAAGTGACTGCAGAAGTATGCAGGACAAGGCTTTACAATAAACCACGTCCCCACGCTACACTTTACACCTCTGTCACCTAGTGGCTTGCTCTGATATAGGATAACCCTTTATCAAGCTTGTCAGGTGTTGTTTTATATGCGCTTACACTGGTAAGATATTACTGCCCAGCTAGGAAATGCTTTTAAAGAAATATCCATGAAAAGAATCAATTTTGTTCCATCACACGATTGTTTTACTTACCCCTGTCTTTTCATCGAAGATTTTGATTCCCCCAAAGGAGACTGTTAAGAAGATTTTTTGTTTATGTTCTCCTTTCGAACGAGCCGCAGCAACAATTCCCTGTTGACACAAAGAACAGTTTGGCTGGTTTCAGTACTCTTCTAGGTGCCGCAGCGGAGCGCAAAGATTTGCTTGTGGATGACCAACCACTTTTCTAGGAAAACTTAAGGGCTTTCCAGGAACAGTCCCCCTCTTACTTCTGGCTTCCTCCCCTTTTTTCAAGGTACCACATCTCTTTACGCTACCCAGACAGCATTTCAAATGTGCTCCCACTTCCAGCCCCTGCACGAGCTAATCCTCCATGAAATTTGTTTTCATGGAAGCTGAAGGTCATTTCTAGCACACTTTTTCCAGCTATAAGCTGTTTTGTTTTCTGTTTTGTTTTTTTTTTTTTTTCAAGAAAAAAAAACCACAATAAGTAGTTCAGGAAAAAAACGCCAACTTTAGCTTACTTCATGGGCACACTTAATCTGGAATAAGCTAATTGAGCTTTTTAGAGAAGAATATTCTTCTCAAAATCAAACTACACCTCTGCTGTAAAAAGCTGGTGTTGAAGGTTAGGTTTTTTTCCTGATCTCAGGCTTTTACTTCATAAGTGAACTTGCTGATATGCACCTCTTGTATTATTCTCCCCCAGCATAACAGTAACTTCTATTTCCACCTTCTCAGGAACCTGCCCTGACCAATAACACCGTACTAAGATCAAATGTAACCAATTGCACCAGTAAATAAATGAAAATATTTAGCCTTTATCTGTTGCTCTGCAATTTCAGCATGTTTCAACAACCGCTGACATGTTTTAAGACCTTCATGAGGTCGTTGTTCTTATTACACAGATACGAAAATTAAAGAGGAAAAAATGGAGTCATTTGTCAAAAGTCAAATGCAGTCATTTGTCAAAACTTTATGCCTGGCCTTAAAACCCCCGTTGCTAGACACGAGGTTGCAAGAGTCCACAACGTCATGCTATGCTGCCTTACGTACAAACATGAATTTCTAATGTTCCTTTCCCTTAATAGTTTGTCATCTCACAACACTGTTTGGATCAATCTCGCCACTTTGCAAACAGGTATCGGGCACCTGGGAGATGTGGAAATGGGAATCCATGGAGGAGAGAGACAAAAAGGCTCGTTTAGCTGAACAGTGACAATTCTCCCAAATTGCTTCTAGGAACTATGAAATAACAACAAATATCCAGTATACAATTAAACCAGATAGGAATATTGTGGCAGATGCGATAACTCAACAGTGCACCTTCTAGAACCGATTAGTTTCTGCTCGTCATAAAATGTTCGTAACTGATTTGTAAATTATCTACCAGATCTTGCTTTTAGATTGTTGGACCGTAAGATGGATGTCACCCTTTGCTGTTTATTCCTGAATAACCAGCTATTCCTCCCCGTTCCTCGGGACTGGAACCATGCTAGTTGGTAGTGTAAAAGATATTATTTAGTGATTTCTCCTCCTGAAAAAATTAGTAATGGGAAATGCATCAGCCCTCTCGGTGGAGTGCCGGGGAGAGGACTGGAAGGAAAAAAACAGGAAAAAGACTGTGGAGGGTTTACTCCTAGACCTACCTGGTAACCCTGCAGTGCAGATGGGAAGCCAACAGCCAACACTGCACAAGAAAAACACAATCTATCCTTCCTCCTCAACCACTCCAGCTCTTCCACATTTCCCAGGGCCACGTAAAGATGCTTCTTATAGAGAGTTCTTATGCTCTTTGAGGGTTAGAAGAAAAGACTGAGCCAGAGACAGGTGTCCAGCGTGTCCAGAAAGCCCACCCTCCTCCACCACTAGTGCTTTCAGACTCTGTCTACTCTCTAAGTTTGCAGTCTACTCAAAATCTGCTTTTGTCACGGCTCCACTTCTTTCCCAAAGTAAAAGGGGACTCCTGGGGACTCCTCCTTATCTTCTCATGCTCTGTCCTCTCGGTGCACTGCCTCCTGGTTTGGTAACCCAGAAATTCTGCCGTTACAGGTGCAAGACGTTATCCTCCCAGTGAGGACACCAGTTCCCCCCTATATCTGGCTACCTACACCCCACAACGTCACTCACCCCTTCCTCCCTGTCCCGACAGGAGATAATGGTCAAAGGCAGGGCTGTAGTTGATTAGCACTGTCATACAAAATGTTCTGATATACCATTTTTCTTCACAGTGGTTTACATCCCCTTTTGCATAATAAAATTATTCAATTTGCAGATGTGTTGTTTATAATTTGTGGACAAATTGCAGTGGTGTCAATCATGAATAACTACTGAACTCAGAGATAATGTATTAAAATTAAACTGGGATAAGCAATACCAGCCAGGAGTTCATGTAAAATTGACTGATTTCAATACATAATTAACCAGAGTGTGACTCAGTGTCACAAAAGGAGAACGAGTAAAAATTCAAGCTGAAATCTGCTCCCCTTGACGCCATAATATTAAACATTAAAAGTTTCACTGCACCTTGAGCTTCATCATGGAGTCTTGGCATAACTTGTCTCCTCGTGCGGCAGAAACCTCATCTATCCCAATCAGTTTTGCTTTGTATCGGACACCGTCACCTTTAAACCTCTTTATTAAAGTGGCTTCACTGCGATCCTGACCTGGAAAGACATAAGGGAAACAAGCAAATTTGCGTGAGTGCAAAAGAAAATAAACAAATAAATACTTGCAATTAAGTGGCAAATTAGATCTAACTCCCACCTCAACACCTAAACACGCAAACATTTCAATAAAATTAGAAGAAAAGTATTAGTTCAAGAAAACCTTTTGCCCTTACTACCTCAAACGAATTCACAGTGGAATTGTTGCCGTACAAAGTGTTCTGCACAAAATTTGCACACAAATTAGGTTTACAGAAATAAGAGATAAGCCTGAATCAGACTTCACGGATCTGAAAACTTCCGATCTGTATGGGTTGTTTTAATCCCAATGCACTTGAGAATTTTTCATTTTGCAGACAAAACTCTAATAGAAACATGCCACTATTTCCTCATATACCCACTTATCTCACCGCATCAGCAATATTTACACTATTACCATTTGAATGATGAAAAAACAAATGATGTTATATGCCTATAGAATATTGCTGCTCTTAATTCTCCACAAAAAAAAAATACTGTCTCCTTGTTCTACTCTTTCTGCTTAAATATATACAGAAAAATCATAACCAGCAACATCGGCTCTCACAGGCTCACCCCGAGAAGCTTAAAAAAACCAGCACAAGATGTTTCTTAATAAAAAAGCAATCAGGGGGTAAGATAGCACACTACTGATAGAGCCAATGTACATAAATTACAACTCTCAGACCAGCCTGAACCACACGACGCTGACACCCCGGCAATCCATGAAAGGGATAGTTTTGTCGGGAAGACTTTTTCCCCGAGTACCCGCAGAAGAGTTTATTCCGTGTTTTAGCTGGAAGAAATATGTTAGTTAGGGAACCGGTCTTCCTAAAATTGATTAAAGATATATTTTTGCAGCTGTCTGTGGAATTTCTTGCTAGGATCTCAAAAAAAAGCAGCAGTGAAGTGTAAATAATTGCAAGCGAACAAGTAACCAAACAAAAAACTTCCAAGGAACAAAGCAGCAAGCAAAAATGTCAGATCTTAAAGAACTGGAAGTTTCTTGGACCCAACAGATTCCACCAGAAAACTAGCCTAAACATGGACTGAAGTTGCTAAAATCTATACTCTTATCACCTAGGAGCTGTAGTCACAGATTTTGCCCCGTCTTTGGAGCTAGTGTAAAAAATGAACAAAGAGATAGAGTCTGCTACAAATGAACCATAGGTAAGAATCTCATTATACAGCTGTATTTCAGAATTTTGACCCAAATTTTCTCCAAAGCTCATCCCTATTTGAGAAGTTAGATTAAAGCACAGAAAAAAAATAATCAAATCTGTTTCTGTGCCGCTAACTTGTGATAAGCAGAAGTACAGAAGCTTTTGGGGAAAAACCTGTTTTGTTGTGCATTTCTATTAAAAGCACCTTTTTCAGCAGTCAACACTTGGGTCAACTTTGCTAGTGTTACACACCCATCAAGTGGATGAATAAACGAGGCTGAAAACTATGGAACTGAAATTTTTACAGTACCATTATAAGAAAAAATAGAGAGCATACATGACCAAGAAAGAGTACTTCCAAATGAAGACACTTATTTGGTTATCCTTCCCCCAGAGTACAGCACATGTCCATAACGATGGACTAGATGTTTGTTAAAAATAGAGCTATTTTAAGCTTATTGAGATCTTCAAGTATATTTCAGCACACAAATGCTATTTATTTCAATGAAAAATATCAGCTCAGACCAATGTTTTAATGCCTCATTGATAGCCCCTTTAAAAAGGCAGCTGCTAAGTGTTGCTGCAATAGTTCAGTGTCCACCCAACTGCTTCCCTTGATTTGTTTTCACTCCTGCTCCCGCAAAAAAAAATTAAACAGAGGGCTGAAACTTCATCCTTTTACATTGTATTCTATTAAAAAAAAAAATAATCTAATGAGACATAAACGATAAATCAGAAACTCCAATTTATCAGAGTTGTTCTGATAAATCAGACACCCTGAAGTAGTGTTAATACCACTCCCCAGGCAAATGCCAAGGCAGATGTTGGCACCATCAGCTAAAAACAATGAAAACCCATCTTCTATTTTCCGCTCCGGAGTGGGGCAGGAGGGGGAACATCTGGAGACACAACGAAGTACAATGATAACAGTGGACTTCTCCATATGTCTTTTATACTTGCAAAGATATCCTGTTGATTTGCAGTAAATAAAATCCAATTCCAACAGCTTTCTTGCCAACAATTTTCAACCTTACGTCTCCGTTACAGCCGAAGGCAGCTGTTAACTAATAGCATGAGCGTGTAAGTGTTCAAGAGCGTCTCTTGGGTCCAAGTCATGATAGCGACCTTGCATTCATCAGTTATTTGAACATTTATACTTATTCCAACCTCTGATCTATTTTTCTGCATGTAACTAAATCCCTGACATTAATAGCCCATTGAAACACAACTTATGGCTATGTTTGCTTACGCACAAGTCCCATGTCAATTATGACCCAGATTAAGTAGGATAAAGTGCTTTTGGGATAAATGACTGGGAAAAATCATCAACCTGAAAATGATGTAGATATTTTAAACTGCAGTGGAAACTGCAAATTACTAGAAACTACAAATTCATCCGTAAAACCCTAGAGCATATGTCCCATGAAAAAGCACAGGGAATGCACACACACACTGCCCTATATTATAAATCAGCCATCCGCAACAGTCACCATTTCTCAGCATACATCCAGATCTCCCCCTATCTATGCTCATACTGTATTTCCAAATTTTGGTGCTGTAATCAGCACCGAAAAACTTTCTACCTCCCTTGGAAAATTACCATAGGACAAACACTGTCAGTACGGTCGACTTTATAGCACTCAGGAGATGTGAGATTTACGTGGGGTGATACTTCATTTGCACACTGGACACTTACCAGGCAGATAAGTCCAGACTCTCATAAACATCTCATCATTAGACAAAAAACTTCTTTTTTTTTTTAATGACAGGTCTTGAACAAGATTCTTTCTGTGTTTGAAACAGCATGAATAAGAGATGCCTGAATTATGACGCTGTAACTCTTCTTAAGCTTCAGAGGAGGCTGAGTGCTAACATTAAACCACTAAACCAGAGAGCTGTGCCTGTGCCAGAAACCCACCCAGGAAAAGTGCTGCCTCTTTCTCTTCCTGTAGCGAGTGGAGTCAATCTTGTCTTCTTTGCAGCTCCCGCCTTTGTGAGCGCAGTCCCGCTGTCGAGCTCGGCTCCCCAGCCACCCCCTGCCACCGCACTTGCTCGGTCCCGGCCGGCGGGAAGGAGGATAATCCTGGATGCGGGGCTGCACTTACTGCTGGAGCTGGGTTTTATTTCAATAACCAGAAGCTGCATCTTGGGGCTTTCACTCTCAGCTTGCCTCCCTCAAACTACAAATAACATCTCAAGGGCAGGAATGGGGACGTTCACAAACCAACTATGATGATTTTAGGGACAACTGAAGCTTGAGGTCTCAAATTATTACCCAACCATAATCTTCAGCAAAATTAGAAGCACGCGTTTAATGACAACCATTTCTTTCCACCACACATAGAATCACAGAATGGTTTAGGTTGGAAAGGACCTTGAAGATCATCGAGTTCCAACCCTCCTGCCATGGCCAGGGACACCTCCCACCAGACCAGGTTGCCCAAGGCCACCTCCAGCCTGGCCTTGAACACCTCCAGGGATGGCGCCTCAACAACCTCTCTGGGCAACCTGTGCCAGTGCCTCACCACCCTTAAAGTCAAAAACTTCTTCCTAATGTTTAATCTAAACCTGCCCTCTTCCAGTTTATAGCCATTCCCCCTCGTCCTGTCACTACATGCCCTAGTAAAAAGTCCTTCCCCAGCACTCCTGTAGCCCCTTTAGGTACTGGAAGGCGGCAATAAGATCTCCCCGGAGCCTTCTCTTCTCCAGGCTGAACAGCCCCAACTCTCTCAGCCTCTCCTCATAGGAGAGGAGCTCCAGCCCTCGGATCATCCTCGTGGCTCTCCTCTGGACACGCTTTCTTTTTAGGACTTCTTGACTGCCAAAGCCACACCAGGTGAGCAGCTGATGTCCACCTCAGTTGTCCCTCATACCCTGTGCAGGTAGGGATCTGCCCAGCGTTCTTCATCAGAGGACTAGCACCACCAGGGCATTCTAAAACGATCCTAAACTAAGTTTTTGTCTTAAAACTTTTTTAACTTCAAGACCAGTACGTAGTTTCCAATGGTTTGCTCTAAAATGCTTTCATAAACACATTTTCATAAGCAAACAAATATCCTAAGCATTTGTTCGCAACTTGACACAAGCACTTCACAATCCAAAATGGAACCAGGTTATCAAGAAAACTAAAATTATTCAATTCTCATGCCCCAAACTGAGAAAAAAATGCTAAAAAACCACTAACAACAACGTCACAGAAATTCAATTTAGAAAGGTGATCCCTTTTAATTAAAAAATGTGGTGCTGTTGACACAGGCAACGAAATGTTTTGTTTGCAGCATATAGATTTATAATCCTCAGAGGCCCTTTAAATGTAAATATAAGAGTAATTATTTTATCTACTTCTATAGATGTCACCGTTCACCTTTAAGCCATATGTGTTTCAGCTGGAGCCACTGCTCCCGCATAAGTGGGAAAACATGACCTTTGCTGCCGAGTTGTGACACTGTACTTGGACTTTCAGAGTTTTTTAAGAGAACAACAAATCCCCAGAGTCGGGTGATGCAATGTGCTTCTGAGTTTGCATCTAAAGTAGAGAGAGACTATCATCGTGATCTGCATTAAGGTATTTTATCCATCTCACTAAATATATTCTAAAAGCAATAAACAAGGTTTTTAACACAGTCAGTCATTTTTATGTGAGGCGGTATACCTTAATTAAACTCAGATTCTGTGAAGCAAGCTAGAGACAGACCCGAACCCAAAACCCCAAGTACTCAACCCAAGTACTTCAAGTGCATTCAATCCCAAGACATGACTGGTACACAGTCCAAGAGGAGAATCAGCAGTTGTGGAAGACCCAAGCGAGAGCAGCCCAAG